TCAACTTTTTTTCGCATCTGAGAGAAAACAAATAGTTCTCCTGACCAGCATACCTTTCCTCTGCTCCAAGCCAGCTCCCTGCAAGGCACATAATTCAAATGCTCAAACCAGTCTCCCCTAGTGCAAGAAAACTTTTGCTCCACACATGTATAATAAAAGGTGATGCAGTGGGCTAGGGATGTAGTAGCCTTTCAGCACAGTACTCTCCTCTGCAAAGAAGGTGATGGAATCAAAAGCAGCTGAAATTCTCCTTTTAGTGAGGATGCTGTTCCCCTAGAATATCCTAGACTTCTTAACCAACTCCAGTTTTAACCACTTCTCTAGTCCCATGGGGGGAAAAAAAATCTCCTGCCAGAACTCTTTTCTGGCTTGGCTTCAACTTAAAGTCCCCCTCCTAGTAGTGGTCACCTGCTTTATTAGCTACCTTGTTAGGCGGTCAGGAAACCTATCAAACTCCAAGGTTAGTGCACCTCTGGCTCCTTCCAACTTCTGGCACTTGTTTTCTTGACACCCATCTCATACCTTGAATCCTAGCCTCCCATGCCTGTCTAACTTGGCCTTTTCTGATGAGCTGCTTCCCAAAGCCTTCCATTTACAAGGCACCTTATCTGAAACTTAATCTCATCTCCTCCAACTCTAAACTTAAGTTGGAAAAATGGTAAGCTCAAGTGTAATAAAGCTCAGATGTGTGGTTAACTTTCTTTTAGGTGTATGAGTGTTTTCCCTACATGTATTTGAGTGCCGGTGGAAGCCAAAAGAGGGTGTTGGCTTCCCTGGAACTGGAATTGCAGACAGCTATTAGCTGCCATGTGGGTGATAGGAACCTGACCTGGGTCCTCTTTAAGAGCAGCCAGTGCTCTTAACTGCTGAGCCAACTCTCCTGCCTCGTGGGCTTAATTTAGCCCCAACATTCAAAAGTTCTAAAGACTAGCCAGGTATGGTGGTGCAAGTCTTTAATTCAAGCACTTAGGAGGTTGAGGATGGTGGACCTCTGAGAGTTTGAGGCCAGCCTGGTCTATATAGCAAGTTTCAGACCAGTCAGGGCTACATAGTGAGACCCTGTCTAAAAAAAAAGTTCTAAAGCTGGGCGTGGTGGTGCATGCCTTTAATCCCAGCACTCGGGAGGCAGAGGCAGGCAGATCTTTGCGAGTTCAAGGCCAGCCTGGTCTACATAGTAAGTTCCAGGGCAGCGGGGTGCTACAGGGAGACCCTGTCTCAAAAAGAAAAAAAAATGGTAAGTTTTATGTCATGTCCATTTTATAATTCTTTTAAAGAAAGAGGTAGGAGAAGAACAAATTCAAGGCCAGCCTGGACTACACAGGAAATTCAAGGCCAACCTGGACTACATAGGGAATTCAAGGCCAGCCTGGACTACATAGGAATTCAAGGCCAGTCTGGACTATGTAGCAAGATCTGATCTCAAAACAACAACAACAAAAGCCACACAATACACAGACCACCCATATACAAAATCAGGATGTTCATGTACAAATAAGACAAGATTTTAGGCTTTATTTGAAAAAAAAATCATATCTAAACATGTAGGAGTTAGGGGCTAGGGAGATGGCTCAGCTGTTAAGAACACTGGTTATTCTTGCAGAAGACCCGGGTTTGAATCCCAGCACCCACATGGCAGCTAACAACTGTCCGTAATTCCAGTCCCAGGGGATCTGATAGCCTCTTCTGACCTCCAAGGGCATTGCATAACATGGGTACACTTACCTACATGCAGGCATACAGATAAAGTCAAAATAATTTTTTAAAAATGTAGGAGTTAGCCGGACGTGGTGGCGCATGCCTTTAACCCCAGCACTCGGGAGGCAGAGGCAGGTGGATCTCTGTGAATTCAAGGCCAGCCTGATCTACATAGTGAGTTCCAGGACAGCTGGGGCTACAAGGAGAACCTGTCTCAAAAAGACAAAAAAAAAGTAGGAGTTATATTACTGCATGAAAATTAGCTCTTTACCACTGACCTACCATCATACATCTTTTGTTTCTCCAAACCTATTTAGCGTCTTGAGGTCTACTGAATTTTTGACTTGTGCTCCAAACTAGCATGTCACTTTTTATAGTAAGCTCTCCAGTGTCAGTGACCAACTGGGCAAGGTAAAGGTACTGCAAGGGCCAACACACTCCTCAGTACCTGAATTTAAACACTAGCACATTTTAGATCATCCCTAAGGGCACTGGGTAGGCATGTGGCACAAACCTCTAGTTTCCACACTTGGGAAGTGGAGGTAGGAGGAGAAGGAATTAAAAGCTCCTTCAGTTAAATAGAAAGTTTGAGGTCAGCCTGAATTACATGAGATTCTGATTTAAAAAAAAAAAAAAAAGAAAGAAAAACAAGTAACAACCACCAAAACCTAAGGGGACTGGGGGTATAGTTCCATGGTAGGTTAAAGATTTGCCTTCTGGGGGCTGGAGAGATGGCTCAGCAGTCAAGACCACTAACTACTCTTGCAGAGGACCTGGGTTTGGATCCTAGCATCCATATGGCAGCTAACCGCCGTCTGTAACTCCAGTTCCAGGGGATCTACCACCCTTTTCTGACCTCTGATGCATGTCATGGGTGCACTTACATACATGCAGACAATACACTCATACACATAAAATTAAAATAATAAATAAAAACTTAGGAAAAAATATTTGTCTTCTAGTCCTAACAAGTGAAGCATGGAGGAAAAAAAATAACAAAACAAGTAAAAATTATGCCAAGGGGCTGGAGAGATGGCTTAGCAGTTCTTAAGCTATTCTTGCAGAAGACCCAGGTTCAAATCCCAGCACCCACATGGCAGCTAACAACTGTCTGTAGCTCCAGTTCCAGGGGATCCAATGTCATCTTCTGTCTTCTGTGGGCACTGCACAACATGGGTGCACTAACACACATGCAGGTAATACACTCATACACATAAAATAAAAATAATAAATAAAATAAGAAAAAAAAGATGCCAAACCCTGTCTGAACACACACTGTTTTTCCTCATCCTCTCCCTATTTTTTAAATTTTCTTCACTCATTCATGAAGCTGTCTCCATCAATCCTAATTCACAGAGGTTCTCCTTTTGTGTTCTAGAACACTTAGCATCTGCATTGTTAGTGATCTTGTATTTATATATCCTATTTATCCACTGAACTTTAAGCTCTCATTCATTCAATACAAAACAGCTACTCTAGGCCAAAGACTGTTCCAGGCCCTGAGGACATGGTAATGAACCAGAAGACAAGGTCCCTGCCATCACAGAGCCTAAATAATGGGGAAAACAGACACAGAGAAACAATATGTCAGATACTGATACACATCTTGAAGCAGGGCAATGATCTATGAAGTGAATGGGATGGGGCGACTTTCTGCCTAGAAGAGGTAGCAAAAACCTCTTTAAAAAGGAAGATCAAGGGGCTGGAGAGATGGCTCAGTGGTTAAGAACACTGACTGTTCTTGCAGAAGACCCCGGTTCAAATTCCAACACCCACATGGCAGCTAACAACTGTCTGTAATTCCAGTTCCACAGAATCTGACAGTCTCTTCTGTTCTCCGCTGGCATTGCACAACATGAGTGCACTTACCTACATGCAGGCAATACATGCATACACGTAAAATAAACATAAATAAATAAGGTCAGGCATGGTGGCGCATGCCTTTAATCCCAGCACTCAGGAGGCAGAGGCAGGAGGATCTCTGTGAGTTTGAGGCCAGCCTGGTCTACATAGAGAGTTCCAGGTCAGCTGGGGCTACAGGGAGACCCTGTCTCAAAAAGACCAAAATAATAAATAAATAAATAAATAAAATATTTTTTTAAAAAAAGGAAGATCAAGCAGAGACCTGAACCCTAAGAGAGTAAACCATGAGAAAACCATGGAAAAGCATTCCAGCCAAAGGGAAAAACAAACACAAAGTTTATTTCAGGAACAGAAGTAGCTGAACCACAGGAAGTATACGGTTTGGGTATTTATCATGCCCTCAAAAGACTCATGTATTGAAGGTTTGGTCCCCAGCTGATGTCACTACTGAAAGGGGACTGCATCATGAAGGTGCTAACTTCATGAGTGTTTTAACCTATGGATGGGTTCATACTAGGATGGGCTAGAAGGAGATGGGGTCTAGCTGGAGGAAGTAGGTCACTGCAGACATTTATTTTAAGGATACTGCTTGCTCTGGCCCTTTAGAGTCTATGTCTCTCTGCTTTCTGACTGCCATGAGGTAAGCAGTTTTGCTATCCCATCTCCTTCTACCATGATGTACTACTGACTTACCAGATGCCCAGAAAAAAAGAGCCAGACAGCATGTACTGAAACCTCTAAAACTGACAATATAAGTCCTTCCTTTAAATTATTTCTCTCAGGTATTGTCACAGTGATGAAAAGCTAACACAGGAACAACAGAAGATGAGGTTAAGAAGGAAAGCTGGAAAGATGGCTCAGCAGTCAAGAGCACCTGTGTATGCATCCCAGCACCCATCCAGCAACTAACACTCCAGAATTCCAGGGGCTTCAACACCCTCTTCTGGCTTCTATGAGCACTGCATGCACATGGTATACTTACATACATAAAGGCAAACACATAAGATAAATTATGTGTTAATAATAAAATTCTGATTTTATTTTTTAAAGGAAGAAGGGAGGTTAGGCATGCTGGTGTATGCCTTTAGTCCCAGCACTTGCAAGCAGATCTCATTGAGTTCAAGGCCAGCCTGATCTACATAATGAGTTCCAGGCCAGGTGGGGCTACAGGGAGACCCTGCCTCAAGAAGGCAATGAAGGCAATAAAAAAATAAAGTAAGTAAGTAAGAAGGGATACAGACTCTGGGTGATTACTAATCTATACTTTCTAATATTTCAAAAGCCAGCATTCAAAAAAATTTTTCAGTTTTGTTAACTATTTCTCAGTTTGAAAATACTCAGTTATTTTTTTCCCAACCACCTTGTTACTGGATGGCAACATTCCTTTCATTCCTCCAATAAATGGTTCTTTAGCACTATCTTCTGGCACCTGAACCACTTACCCCTTTAATGAAGGTGGGTTTGTCCTTTATGCCAAAGTTCCAGAGCAAGATATCTCCCCCTTTGGAGCCCACAGCCAGGGTGCTGGGATGAGTTGGGTGCCAGGCCAAGGATGTAGCCCGCCTGTCAAAGGGGGCAACTCTTTGGAATACCTGGTAAGAAGCCAGAGACTGCAAAAAGGACTTTTGGAGACCCTAATAAAGAGAAAAAAGAATTAAATGGAATTAGTTGAATTAAAACTTAGTTCCTGAGTAAAATGTCAGTCTCTAGCTCCTTCAAAGATGAGCCCTAAGGCCAAGTCCTCCCACCAAAGGAAAGCTTCTGGGCCTTGTGCATGAAATATCTGCAATTCGGCTGGATGTGGTGTCACACACCTTTAATCTCAGCACTTGGGAGGTGGAGGCAGAGGCAGACAGATTTCTGTGAGTTTGAGGATAGTCAGGGCTAGAAGTTAATGGGCAGAATGCATTCCAGCCAAGATGTTCACAGAGTTAAACTTTTCTCCTAGACTGCATGTCCAGTAGCCTAGTCAGCATGGCTGGGGTGACATGACCACTCTTGACAATCTGCTGAACCAATTCATTTAGTTAGAATGTGCACGAAGCTATGAAAATTTATGCAGACCTTTGAGTACTGTAGACAGGAAACACCTTACCTGCTGTAGTGATGGCCAGGTGACTCTGCCCAATTTTTGCTGGTGGAGAGCCCTGATGATACTACTCTGTGAAGGGACCTGTAGGTTAGCCAACTCTGCCAAAAGGCAACATGAGTCACATCTCCTGCTGGAACCTGTCAAGAAGAACACACATTTTCCTCGCCACCATCTCAGAAAAGGTTTGCATCTGAAACCTCTTGCTAATTCACTCAGCATGGTCAATCTTTCTCATCACTTTCTAAGTCTTTCCAGGGGCTGTTTAGCCTCATTCAGCCAAAGAAAGAAGGAATAGAGATTTGACCCTCTCCAAAATACTCCTCCAGTGATTTTGAAGTAACACTAAATGTGATCTTGCAGGGTTCTTGAGAACTAAGCCAAAGAGATACACAATAAACTACACTGTGTGGGATGGAAAATTAGTTGGAGTCGAGGGACAATTTTGAAATTACATACAGTATAAAATAAAAAATTTCAGGACAGTATAGAAGAAATTGCTAAGGAAAAGAAGCCTGTTTAATCCTATATTAAAAGTGGGTAATGTAGAGGCAGCCTGGTGTGGTAGCACATGATTGTAATCCCAGCACTCAAAAGGTTGCAGCAGAAAGATCTTGAATTCCAGGCCAGCCTAGGTTACATAGAAGGAATATATATATATAACAAGTCTGGATGCAGTCCTTTAATCCCAGCACTTAGGAGGCAGAGGCAAGCAGAGCTCTGTGAGACTGAGGCCAGCCTGGTCTACATAGCGAGTTCCAGGCCAGCCAGCGCTACATAGTGAGATCCCATCTCAAAAAAAACCCAAAACGCACAAATAAAGCATCCAGAACAAGGGGTAATAATAATGTAATGCACAACTAACACGAGTGGAAACCAGAACCCACTAGAGTTTAGAAAAGCTCTAAATTGACTAGGTTACTTCTGAGGCGGTAAACCAAGTTATAATGGGAGTGTATCAACTCTGATCACCAAGATTGGGGTCCTTCCTCTGGAAAACTTTCCTTCTTTCTCATGGACAAAAACCACTTCATTCCCTCCCCACATCTCTAGCTCCAGGTTCGAGCCCTTGGAACCCCTGAGAAGGAGTTTCTAGAAGGAGGGTGGGAAGTTTCCCTCGGGCTCCGGCCGCTGAAACCCAAGGACCTACAGCTAACAATCCTGACAATGGACATCCAGCAACACAGGGATGGGCGAGGTAGGGTCACCAGAAGCTGGTGTATAAAAATCCCGGAACAAAAAAGGAACGTGGGGTCCATAAGTCTGCAGTGACGAGCTCTGTTTCTTCCCATCACCTGACCCGGAGGTGGAGGAGACTAACTGTAAACACCGCTATCCGTGGACTGGATGGACTGGCAGGTGAAACAGTCTGAGGCCGAAGCTCAGGAAGAGACAATTCGCTTTGCGTCCTCGAAGCCGGGGTTCGAACCCAGCCGCCCCCGAATAAAATCATAGCCCGAGGGGGTCAGCCCCCTGGGACTGCCTCACGAACACAGGCGTAAGCTCCCCCGCCCCCCGCTCTAGTCGCCAGCGTGAGCACCCCAAACCACGGGCAAGCTAAAGCAGAGCGCAGGCTGTACCGGGGTTCAGCGCATACAACTTCTTGGTCGCGGGCTCCAGCTCTCTGGTACTTGGGACGCTCTTGCTCTTGAGGCGTACCGCAATGTCGGGGGGCTTCTGGGTTTCTGGACGTTTCTTGGGAGCCATGACGTACTTAGTGTGCAGATATTAAGCCCCGTCACGAAATGAGGGAGCAAAGACAGAACAGCCTCTGAGCAGAGACCACGAACGCAGGTTCAAACTGCGCAAGTAGCTAGCCGGCTAAAAGATCTTCGCGCCAAACCTACCAAGGCCGCTAGGCGTTTAGCCGCACCCCGCCCCCTCGGGATGCCCCGCCCTCAGGGCTGCCCAGCCCGCCCCCTGGGGACCGCCCCGCCCCCAGGATTGCCCCGCTGGACTCGGGACCGCCCCGCCTGATGCCCCGCCCCCAGGACTGCCCAGCCCGCCCCCTCGGGATGCCCTGCCTCTCGAGCTACCCTTCCTCCTAGGAACCGTCTCGCCCCCTCTGGACGCCCCGCCCCTCAAATACCCCGCCCTGGTGACTTGTGGAACCAGCCCTGCCAGGCGTTCCGTTCCCCGGGGAGGGCGGGGCTGGTGGCTAGAAGCTAAGTGCGCGACGGGAGAGGCAGTCCGAGCGGCCCAGGGCTGAGATTTTTTTTTTTTTACTCCGGAAGAACCAAAATGAGTTCGTTGCGCTCGCTGGGCATGCTAAAACTCGTTATTCATGTCTGAACACAGGCACCTAAGCGTCGTCAAACTACGAAAGTGGCCGGACATCGTCGTTTTGCCTCGTTTGCCAGACGAAAAGCTGCAGCTGCTTTGGCGAGCACAGCTTTAGCTTTTGAATCCTTTATCTCACGTTATGGGAGAGAAAAATATAGTGTAGCGAAGGCTGAGTGGTGGCGCGCTTCAGCCCTGTGCGGGTCCCAGAACTGAGGAGGCTGAGGCCTGAAGATGACGTTGAGTCAAGCCTGGACTACCCAAGATCTGTAGGCCTGGATGAAAGTCTATTGTGCACAGCACAGTGGCTGTAGATAACGATAAAGTGCTCTGTGCTTCAAAAAATAGGGTTTTGAATGTTTACACCATAACCGATAACTGAAGAGATGTGTTTAACCTGATTTTTAAAAAATATTTATTATTTTTATTTTTTATGTGTACGAGTGTATTGACTGCATGTATGTGAGTGCACCCGTGTTGTGCAAGGCTGCTGAGGTCAGAAGAGGGCTTCAGATTCCCCTGGAACTGGAGTTCAGGACGGTTCGTAGCCGCCATGTAGGTGCTGGGAATCGAGCCGGTCCTCTGCGAGAGCACTTAGTGCTCTTAACCGCTGAGCCATCTCTCCAGCCCCTAACCTGATTTTTTTTTTTTTCTTTTTGTCTTTTTGAGACAAGGTCTCCCTGTAGTCCCAGCTGACCCGAACTCACTGGGTAGACCAGGGTGGCCTGGAACTCAACAATCCGCCTGCCTCTGCCTCCCGAGTGCTGGGATTAAAGGCGTGCACCACCACGCCGGACTTCCTGATTTTATTTATTTATTTATTTTTTGGTCTTTTTGAGACAAGGTCTCCCTGTCTCAAAAAGACCAAAAAATAAATTAAACATTATATACGTGTATCAATACATCATATGATACTCCATAAATATGTATAATTTTGTGTAGCTTAAAAAATTTAAAGATACTGTAGGAGAAAACAAAACAAAACTTAGAGAAAAAAATAGGTACTGTAGGGAAGGGAAAACACACTTTTTAAGAGTCTGTATTTGAGTTTAAGAGACTGATGAAAGGTTGAGGGGTTGAGGAGATGGCTCAGTGGGTAAAAGTACTTACTATTCAAGTAAGGACCTGAATTGGGATCCCTAAATACCCAAGTTAAATAAAAAGCTGGGCACAGCCGTGTACTCATCATGGGGATGTCATAAGACAGGCAGGCTTAAGGATAGTTAATTGTAAGATAGTAGAAAGATTATGGCATAAAATCATAGAAGATAATAATGGATTTTTACAGGTCCATCTCAAGGTAGACTCTCAGCCACTGATAAGAATGTTCTTCTAGCCAGGCGGTGGTGGCTCATGCCTGTAATCCCAGCACTTAGGAAAAAGGATTGCTGTGGGTTTGTAGCCAGCCTGGGCTACATAGTGTGTTAAAAATAAACAAAATGGGTTGGAGAGATGGCTTGATGGTTAAGAGTACTTGCTGCTCTTCCAGAGGACCCAGGTTTGATTCACAGCACCCACATGGTGGTTCATAACTGTCCATAACTCCAGTTCCAAAGGATCCAATGCCTTCTGGCCTCCAAGGGTACCAGGCACACATGTGGTGCACATACACATATGCAGGCAAAACACTCATACACATAAAATAAATAAATCTTTAAAAACAAAACAAGATAGAAACAGCAAGTGAGAGCTGTATGGGCACTGGGGGACTCTGTCTTGCTAAGGAAAACAACTGAACATGGACAAAGGAGATCCTAAGAAGCCGAAAGGCAAAATGTCATCATATGCATTCTTTGTGCAAACTTGCCCAGAGGAACACAAGAAGAAGCACCTGATGCTTCTGTCAACTCTCAAGAGTTTTCCAAGAAGTACTCAGAGAAGTAGAAGACCATGTCTGCTAAAGAAAAAGGAAAGTTTGAAGACATGGCAAAGGCTGATAAGGCTCATTATGAGAGAGAAATGAAAACCTATATCCCTCCTAAAGGGAAACAAAAAAGAAGTTCAAAGATCCTAATGCTCCCAAGAGGCCTTCTTCGGCTTTCTGTATCGCTCCCAAATCAAAGGAGAGCATCCCGGCTTACCTATTGGTGGTGTTGCAAAGAAACCGGGAGAGATGTGGAACAACACCGCTGCAGATGACAAGCAGCCGTATGAGAAGGCCGCCACGCTGAAGGAGAAACACGAAAAGGATACTGCTGCCTACAGAGCTAAAGGAGAACCTGATGCTGTAAAAAAAAGGGGGCTGTCAAGGCTGAAAAGAGCAAGAAAGAAGGAAGAGGAGGAAGATGAAGAAGATGAAGATGACGATGATGACAAATAAGTTTGTTCTAACATTTTTTTCTTGTCTATAAAGCATTTAACCCTCCCATATATAACTCACTCCTTTTAAAGAAAAAAATTGAAATGTAACGCTGTGTAAGATTTGTTTTTAAACTGTACAGTGTCTTTTTTTGTGTAGTTAACACACTGCCGAATGTGTCTTTAGACAAGACCCTATTTGTGCCATTTTCAATATCCACTAGCCTTGCCTGGTTCAGTATGGGGCTGTAAACTGGCATGGAAGTTTAAAGCAGGTTCTTGTTGGTGCACAGCACAGATTAGTTACATATGGGGATGGTAGTTTTTTTCATCTTCAGTTGTCTCTGATGCAGCTTATACAAAAATAATTGTTGTTCCGTTAACTAAATACCACTCTAATTGCAAAAAAAAATGCAGCTATTTTGATGACATTCTGAATGCTTCTAAGTAAATATGATTTTTTTTATTAGAAAAAAAAAAGAACAAAACAATGAAAACAATAGTAGGGCCTGGTCTTACGGCTCAGTGGCAGAACGTTTGTCTAACATGCATGAGGCCCTAGGTTTGATCTCCAGTCTCTAGTCACACACACACACACACACACACACATATGCACGCATGTGCGCATGCACACGAAGATTTTGGGGGCTGGGGCTATGGCTCAGTGGTTAAGAGCACTTACTGCTTTTCCAGAGGACCCAAGTTCTATTCCCAGCACCCATGTCAGGCAGCTCACAACCATCTATAACTGCAGCTCCAGGAGATCTGATACCTCTGGGCTCCTAGGCCATCTGCACCCATGTGCACATACCCACACACATACACATATGCATAATTAAAAATACATCTTTGGCCGGGCGTGATGGCGCACGCCTTTAATCCCAGCACTCGGGAGGCAGAGGCAGGAGGATCTCTGTGAGTTCAAGGCCAGCCTGGTCCACGTAGTGAGTTCTAGGACAGCTGGGGCCATAGGGAGACCCTGTCTCAAAAAGACCAAAAAAAAAAAAATACATCTTTAAGGCTGAGTGTGGTTGCTCTTATTTTTAATCCCAGTACTCGGGAGGCAGAGGCAGGTGAATCTCTGAGACTTTGATGCCAGCTTGGTCTACATAGCAAGTTCCAGGCCAGCTGGGGCTATAGAGCAACCCAGTCTCAAAAAAACAAAACAAAACAAAACAAAAAACAATAAACTAAAAACTCTTTCTGATACAAGGAGGCGGCATGTATTTCATGGGAAGTATAATCTGCTTTTAGATGCAAGTATATGTCTACTTCCTGAATGTCTCCAGTCCAAAGCAAATCTTCATTTCCTTGAATTGCCCTAAAATCATCTGACAGGTGGGTTGGAGAGATGGCCCAGAGGTTAAGAGCACTGGCTACTCTTGCAAGGACCAGGGTTCTGTTCCCAGCACCCATATAATGACTAACAACCGTTTGTAACCCTAGTTCCAGGGGCTCTGATACCCTCTTCTGGTTTCCGTCTAGCCTGCAATCCTGTAATCCTGACATTTGGATGGTAGAAACAGGAGGATCAGGGGTTCAAGGCCAATTTCTGCTACATAGCAAGTTGGAGGCCAGGCTGGACTACATAAGACCCCATCTGAAAAAAATAAAGATGCTTTCCTTAAAAAGTAGCACTTAAGGGGGCTGGATAGATGACTCAGCGGTTGTTCTTGCAGAAGACCCAGGCTCGAATTCCAGCACCCACATGGCAGCTAACAACTGTCCATAACTCCAGTTCCAGGGGATCCAATGGCCTCTTCTGTCCTCCTCAGACATTGCACAACATGGGTACACTTACCTACATGCAGGCAATATATGCATACACATAAATAAAATATATTTAAAAAGTAGCACTTAAAATGGGACTGACCATGTGGAAGAGGGGAAGAGCATTCCAGGCAGTGGAAGCAGGTAATGCAAAGGCCAGAAGGCAGTGGTAAGCTATGAGGGATTCATGAGCAAAGGAAATATTCTGCCTAATGCCAGATTTTCCCGGAAACATTTTTAGGAATGGGAATGGGAAACTTTCCATGGTGGATAGAACTATTTGTGAGCAATGGATACCTGCTTTGCATATACCAGCAAAACATTTTGTTTAGAGTTGTGCTTTTGAGGCACTATTAATCCAGAGTTTGCTTTGGTTCCTCATTTCACAATAAAAGTGATGCCTGGTGGCTTGATGTCATCCATTCCCTAGCTGATGAACTATCAGGTGTAGGATTATTTGATTTACATACTTTAATGCTGCTAATCTGATAAAGGTGTGCATGTAAATAAGTGTA